TGAAATAACGTTGAATTTACATTAAGGCAAAAATAATTTTGCTTTAATGTAAAGGCAGGAAAACTTGATAGAATGCATGCATATGGTATAAAAATTTTTTTAATAAAGTTATATTTTATAGCCTAATATATTGCGACTAATTTAAAACTTTTAGATTTTATATCAAAATGTATATAAAGTACATAAATCTCAGGTTAAATTCGATTTATTCAGCTTATTTTTGTCAATGTTTTATTTTGCTTTAAGTTGACGATTTTAATAAAATGCTCAACTTTTTTAAATATTTATTTCTTAGTTAGAAATAGTACTTAGTTTTAATACGATTCCATTTATATAATATTATCAAAATTAATAAAACATAATAAGTCAGACTAAATTAAGTTTGTTAACAGCATAAATTTTTTAGTTTATTTAAAAATTAACACTTATACATACATATATATATATATATATATATATATATATATATATATATATATATATATATATATATATGTATATATGTATATATATACGTATATATATATATATATATATATATATATATATATATATATATATATATATATATATATATATATATATATATATATATATATATATATATATATATATATATATATATATATATATATATATATATATACATATATATATATATATATATATGTATATATATATATGTATATATACATATATATATATATATATATATATATATATATATATATATATATATATATATATATATATATATATATTTATATATATACATATATACATATATATATATATATATATATTATATATATATATATATATATATATATATATATATATACATATATATATAGAAAATTTAAATAAGTTCCAGTTCGAATAACCATAAATTTACTGTATATATATATATATATATATATATATATATATATATATATATATATATATATATATATATATATATATATATATATATATATATATATATACATATATATATAGAAAATTTAAATAAGTTCCAGTTCGAATAACCATAAACTTACTGTATATATATATATATATATATATATATATATATATATATATATATATATATATATATATATATATATATATATATATATATATATATATATATATATATATATATATATATATATATATATATATATATATATATATATATACATATATATATAGAAAATTTAAATAAGTTCCAGTTCGAATAACCATAAACTTACTGTATATATATATATATATATATATATATATATATATATATATATATATATATATATATATATATATATATATATTATTGTTATTATTATTGTATAATATATTATAATAATTATAGGGTTTTTATTTGTCAATATAGAAATACCAATATTTTTTTATAGTAAATTAATGAATTTCATTGTCTAACAAAAATTGTGGATTTTAAGTCCAGAATTTAAACCCATAAGACACTTTAGTTATTAATACTGTTGAAAACTAACCAAAAGTCTCTAGAATCGAATTCTAAGATAAAATACAAGGTTTAGTAAACTGAGAATAACAGAGATTTACATCAGACAAGACTTTATTTATACATTAGCTTATTGCAATAATAAAATAGACAATTTTTTCTTAATAGAGATGTTCTTATAAAAAAGCTGAAAAACATAGTTAATGTTGAAAGATGTAGAGTAGAATGACGCTTGATTTAAAACTAAAGAGAAGTAATAAAAGCTTCCAAACTTTTATTCCAGAAGCAATATAAGCTTTCAAGATGCACTTTTTGCACACATATTATGGATATAAGCATGATTGTTTGCTATTTGTTTAGATGCTGGCATACAATATCCTTTCATTGTTGTAAAAACTTTAGTATTTATATAGTGTAGTATTTGCCGAAAGAGAAAATGATCAGATGGATGTGTGGTGTGACTCTAACAAGACATAAAAAGTAGCCATAATCTTAGACAGATTAGAAAAAACGTTGTATCAAACAACCTTTTTTTTTAGAATAAGTTAAAGTAATTCAGGTATTAACATGTAGAGTGGTAGCAGCTTCAGTATAAAATGATTGTGGTAGAAGTAAGAATGTTTGAAGATTGTGCCATACATAGTGCCATAATAAAGATGATGATGATTATCATGATGTCGATCAACAACATCAACATAATTTTTATTATCATTGTCAAGCTTTCCGCTTTTATACTGTTAATGATAATGATGATCATAATGATTATGATGATGATGATGATGATGATGATGATGATGATGATGATGATGGTGATGGTGATGGTGATGATGATAGTGATGATGATGTTCATGATGATTATGATGATCATGCTGATCACAAGGATGTTCATATATGCATATATATATACAAAATATAGCATGAATTTTAAATTTAAAAAATATATTTTAGGATGTAGAAATGTTTATGCAGCCTGATCTCAAATCCGGCCCTGGCCCCGGCTTTATTTTATCAAACCCGGCTATATATATATATATATATATATATATATATATATATATATATATATATATATATATATATATATATATATATATATATATATATATATATATATATATATATATATATAATATATATATATACATATATATATATATATATATAATATATATATATATATATATATATAGTATATATATATATATATATATATATATATATATATATATATATATATATATATATATATATATATATATATATATATATATATATATATATATATATATATATATATATATATATATATATATATATATATATATATATATATATATATATATATATATATATATATTATATATATATATATATATATATATATATATATATATATATATATATATATATATATATATATATACTTCCTCATGACCCTTGAACATAACAAGTTCCTAATATTATTTAAAAAAATTATTTAAGTGTATCATGTTGGTCGAAGCAAAATTATATGAAAATTTCAATGTTAGATTTAACGCCATAAAAAATGAAGTTTATTAATAAACTAATGAAAAGAAAAATGTTCATTTTAATCAACTTTTTTCAATATTTTTTTTACTATTTTTTCAAAATAACTGAAAAAATAATCATAATTGAAATTTTCATGATTTCGCTTAATTTGATACGAAATGTATAGACATAAAAATAATAAATAACAATATATTCAATGAAATTGCACTTTGATATATTAGGAAATAGTTATAACAGTAAAAACTAATTTTTATATTGAAAAAAAGTTGAAGCAATGACCAGAAAAATATCATACATATAGAACATGTTTATCTGAAGTTTTAAAAAAAAAAAATTTAAATCCTACAGTCAGATCTTTAGAAAATTGGTTTCAAATAAATAAACAAATCTATGATTTACACTAAAAAGGTATTAAATAAAAATAAATTTTAAGCGCGCTAAGATGTTTATTACCTCTTTTTATTTCTATTTTTGTAAAACTTTTGAATTATTATATTAATTTACGTTAAAAATAAAGCTACATCATTGGCTTTTCAGAAATTAATTAACAAATAAACAGTTGCCATATAGAATATTCTCTGTAGTTAAGAACCGTAGCCGTTTTAAAAGTTCAAAAGTTTTCTGTTTTCTTACGCATGCGTACCTAAACATTGCGCTTTTAATTAATATCTAGAAATATTGTAATGAAGATTAATTAAATTCACTAATAAAATAAATTTATTAGGCGTAACTTTCAGATTAATTGTTTTCGTTTTCACCACCGTAGAGTTTGTTCAAGCAAAATAATAAAATTAATTTTACGCCGTTTAACTGCAGGATTACCAAATATATATAATAATCTAAAAAAAAAACTGTAAGAAAAATTTAATCAAAGTTTTCTTGTAATCCACACTCATGTCGAAATAACGTCGTGTGCCCACTGGGTTTATGCTTTAGGTTTCATTTGCATTTTCATTTTCTTACATTTTTTTATTAATTTTAATTTTGTTGCATACAAATGAATAAAAATATATAAAGCTGGTACAGATATATCATTTCACGGATAAGAAATTGTATTTATTACAATTGTAATAAATAAATAGTTTTTGTCTTTATACTAAAAGAAGTATGCAAAGCAAAAATGTTGAATACATGTCGGTTTACTTTGTAAAAAAAAAAAAAATCAAAAAAAAAGATGTAAAAAAATATAACGCAGGATACCAGTTATTAGTGGTGTTTCTGTCATATTACAAGTTAAACGTCTATCTATTCCTACGACCTTGATAAAAGTTAAACAAGCTTGTCAAGACCGACAGCCGCATGGCGTGGGAAACAAACAGTAAATAAAATTATGATGCGCTTAATGTCCTGTTTAGAAAAGCGCGACACAATAAGATTAATTAATTGGCAAAATTAAGACAATCCAATTTTATTATCTCGGCAAATAAGTCTCTATTGCATAAAACCTTTTATAAATTCTTTTTTATATTGCAAAACGTCATAATTCTAACTTCGCTATTAATTATTAAAGCTGCCTAGTGGGCACCGGACCAAAATAAGACGCCTTTTGAATGTTCAAAAGACGTCTTATTTTAAGAAAGACGTTTAAAACGTGTATAAGACGCTTAAAATACGTCTTTTTTAAGTCCCTGTCCACTTGGTGATAATGCTACACTGAATGTTTTAGTCTAAAAACAAAATGAACAATTGGAAAAAACAGCATAAAATATAAAAATACGGAATGTGACTTACATATATTAAAAATTACATCTTCACCATGGTTGTGATGATGCTATTTTTAAAAGAAAATTGAACTTGTATTATGAAATAATAAGATTAACTAATTGGGTGAAGTAAGATAATCGATTTGTTATTTCGGCACACAACTTATTTTGGCACATGCGTTTCTATTATATAAAATTCTTAATAATACAACTTTATATCGTCCCATAAATATTTATTCTACTTTCGCAAACATTTCTTGGCGACTGGTTAGTTAACACAAGTTAATTGTTTGTTTAATTTGTCCGCATGACTTCATTCTTAAGACTATAAATTCCGAGTAACCTTAAAAAATTATCAAATACTTGTTAGAAATAACATTTTCAATTAAGCTGCTCAAAACACTTTGGTTTGAAACACTTTTTCTTTCGGTAAGGATGTGTGCTTGTTTTACATATATTATGTCTTTGGAAAAAAAGTTTTATAGAATTTCTATAAACCTTTCAAACAAAGGTCTATAGAAATTCTATAGAAATTCATACAATTTCTATAGAACCTTTATCAATTTCTATAGAAATTCCTATAGAACTCTTTTTTATAGTTTTTTTTTTCTATAGAAAAAAAGTTTAATAGCATTTTCTATAAAATTAATACACATTCTAAAGAAATTAATTGACATTCTGTAAAAAATCTATAGAAAATCTATAGATTTTCTATAGGCTAAATGTTTCAAAAGTTTATAGAAATTCTATATAACTTTTTTTTCCTAGGATCATGAAAAAGTAGTTCTTTAAACAGCAATTATTAAATTCCGTTCATTACTTTAATTTATTTAGAAAAGTAGAAACTAAAAAGTGGAAGCCTGTAACGTTTTGCAGCAACCTTAAACATGAGCAAACTACTTATTTTGGTGGCAATATTTGGAACTTTTTACATAGAAGGTATTTATTTTATTTTACATATGTGAAATAAAACGTTAGCGTCGTTTTAATTTTTGTATGAGTCAAACTGTAAATTAGTTTATGAAATTATATGTAAATTTATAAAAATACTGATTTATTTTCATAAATTTATCATTTATAAAAATAAATCCTTATTTTCATAAATGAATGAATTTTATCTAAAATACCTAAAATCTAAAATATCGGGGTGCGTACGTTTAACCTAATGTTTATTTTAAAAATGATTACTTTAATGTATTAAAATTTAAAAACTAAGCAAATAAAATAAACATATAGTGGGCAAAGCACACTTGTAAAAATTAGAATAAAGACGTTGTTTTTTTTAACGGGTGCACACGGAAATATCGGGTCAACTTTAAATTAAGATTTCTCTAAAACCATAAATGCTTTTTATTTCAATTTTTTTATTATTAAATGTGTTTACATCAATTAGAGTTTCAACTTAATTTTAAGGGGCTCGGTGGGTTGTTTAACAAGAGATCGAATTTTTTAGAGGTTTGATACCATAATTTTGCCGATATTTTCTTTTTTCATCTTATTGGTGGCATAAATCCACTATTTGTGGAAGTCCTTTTTTTTTTTTTTTTTTGTTACTCCACCTGTCTTGAGAAGAAGTCCTTTAACTATTGTCCAAAAATCTTTAATCTTGCGCTCTTCAAAACGGTTTGGAGGATTCGCATCTTTAGGAACAACTTTCACATTATTATCTTTGCACCACTGTAGAACTTTTTTTGAATAGTGAAAAGCAGAAACATCTGGCCAAAAGAGGCATCGGTGATTGTGTTTTTACATAAATTGCAAAAGTCTTTTTTGGAGGCATTCTTTGATAAAGAGATTGGCAGATTGGCAAAGATAAAGAGATTGGGAAGATCCTCTTGCCAATCTCTTTATCTTTGATAAAGAGATTGGCAAGAAGACTGAATACCTCACCTATAAATTGCTTGCCACAAAAGGAACTAAGATGCAGATATTTCTCGTTGAATATATTTAAATTGATCATCGATAGGTTTATCTTTGTTCTTATAGTAAAATTGTTGACCAGGAAGTTGTAAAAAATCCGCCTTGCAATATATTTTGTCGTCTTCAATCATACACATACTTTTATCCGCCATTTTTTTGACCAACATATAAGCGCGTTGAATTCCATTAATTGTACCATTTTCTTAGATATTTTTTTCTAATAAAATGCTTTAATTCCAGCATTTTAAAGTACTATTTTGAAATAAAAACGCAAAATCTTGAATTTTTTTGCTAGATCTCGCTGTTACTGGTTTGAATTTCTTTCTTTTGAACGTAAAACCGACTTTACCTTTTTGGATTTTTTGGAAAGTTTTTTTTCTTCCATTTCCAGGTTTTCTTTCGAAGCTTTGAGTAGTCTTGAACTTATTTATAATATCTATGACTGTAGATTTCAATCAAGCGATATAAAGTCGATGGATTTTTGCAAAAAAAATTCATAACTTATTTATGCACATCAATTTGTTTCCAAAATATTTTTATAAATCATTGATTTGTAATTAAAATTTTATCCCCACAATTAAAGATAAGGAGGTAACGCTTAATTAAAAAAATAATAATAAAAATAAAAAGCATTTGTGGTTTTAGAGAAATCTCAATTTAAAGTTGACCGGATTTTTCTGGGTCCACCCGATATTGCCTTATTCTTTCTTTTTTTTTTATCTATTGAATTAATTTTCCATATTCAATTTTTTTAAATTTTACAGCCAACCCTCAAGAAATCTATTCGTTAGAATCTATCAACTATCCACAGCATAGAATTGGCATCAGAAGTGATTCAACAGCAGCTATAACTTTATATGATACTGAGGAATTTCGTAT